AGTCCCAGACAAAACCACTTCCGACCCCAAAACCTGGACTCCATCCACAGAAAGTGATGCTTTGCATTTGGTGGGATATCAAAGGAATAATTCATTTCGAACTCCTCAATCTACAGTGAACTGTCAATGCGGAGATCTATAGTCAGCAACTGGAACGTTTAAATCAAGCCCTTCATCAGAAATGCTCTGCAATCGTCAATCAGAAAGGTGTTCTTCTTCTCCACAACAATGGACGTCCACATGTACGTTTGACGCAACACCATATTCTCCAGATATGGCACCATCAGATTACCATTTTCTTCTTTCGCTGCAACACCATCTTAATGGAATAACGTATGCAAATGTGAAAGGTGTTAAAGAGGACATCGACATGTTTTTTGCTTCAAAGCCAAGTGATTTCTTTAATTAGGGCATTAATAACCTGATTGTAAGATGGAAAAGCATCATCGATAAGAATGGAGACTATTTCATTTAATGAATGTTTTGTTTTGATATATAAGTTGTTCGGATTTTTTCATCTAAAAAGAGCGACATTAATTTCTCGACGACCTAATATTTTAATCTCAGTGCTAATTTTTATTTCTTTAATTAGTAAAATATGTTAATTGTAGTTAGTTTTTCTCTATATTATCATTTAGTTATCTAAAGTTGTATTACGTCATCTTTAACAATAATTGAGTACTGGTAAACATGTGTGAAAAGTTAAGAACTGAAAATCTAAATTAAAGCGTGGTTTGTTTGATGGAAATAAGCCTAAATGAAAACATCGGGTGTACCACAGAACAAACTATTCAAATCAGCACAAACTCGACGAAATACATGAATTTACGTGTTACTGTAGACAAGAAAACTCAACGACTGTGTTATGATAAAATTGAAATAAACGTATGTTTTAAACAGTTCTAATGCTTTAAGATTTTACTCTAAAACAAAACAATCCACTTTATTTTTCCGTGTTTAATCACCCTGACGTAATTAGCATTGAAAAAGGTGCCATTACAAACAAAACTTTCTAATACTTCATCTTCAGAAGTCAAATTCAAACATAACATTGGGTTCAAACCGCTATGTTATAGGTTTAGCCTTAAACTCCTTTCTTTACCGAACATTTAAAAATTATACACCTTAAAACTTGAAAACCTTATATTACTGGAACTGCAGAGATATGTCAAAAGAATTTTCATATGAGAAGATGATATAAAACTGCCAACAACTTGGACAAAAATTACGATTGCATCTCTCCTATCATCCATAAGAAAGATGCAATGTTTGTTATTTTTAATATTAATTGCATTTATAATATCTTTTAGGAACCAATTATTATTAACAGAAATTATGATATAAACATCTATGAAAACATATTATGAAGACTCACGAAAGCCATGTTCATGTATTACATCGTCATTCAACAGAATGATCAACTGAAAATTATTTTTTAATGAAGTTCATATGATTTTCTAACAGCGGCAGTATATTTTGAGTTTAATTACTGACGTCATGTAGATACAGTTGTTGGGTATCAAATGAGTGAGTTTGCTCAAGATGCACCTTATACATTTAGCTCTAATAATATAGAAAAAATAAGCTTTCAAGTTAAGAATGATTTGCAAAAAAGTAAGATATCGTTTTATGAAAACAAATGACGTTTTAATACAATTAAAACAATATATATATATATATACATTTGAATTCAAAAGAAAATGATTATAAATGAAAATTATTTTAAATTCTATATTCATAATAATGGTCATATAAATAATAATAATTGTAAACGTTTGCAAATTGAAAGAGCAGATGCTACAAAACTCTTACAAATTGATAACATTTTCAGCTTGAAACATTATGTTATGGATTTGCCAAAAATACTGAGGTCTATGCTCATTAAAATCTATCATTAGAAAAACATTTTAAGTGTTCATACGTTAAGAATTTTCTATTTTTACTTGATACAGTCAGCTGCTCATTATTGAATTTTGCTATGGAAGGGAACTTACCTAACTACACTGAAGCCAATAGTTTCATTACAGAATAACATCATAAAAAGTAATTTGATATTTTTGATATTATGATAACAATGAAACAATTTATGATAGGTATATATATATACATATATATATTACTAAAACTATTCAATGTGTGATATTTATTAATATATATATAATATTATCATTTATAAAGTATAAAAGTTATTACTTACAAGTAAAAGTGAGGTTTGTCCTAATAGAATTCATCGATTAAAATATAAACTTTCGATAGTTTGACAGGAGATTATGCATGAACGTTTTGTCACTTAGCGCCCAAAAATATTTAATAATTTACCTTTAATGATGGCCCGGCATGGCCAGGTGGCTAGGGAGCTCGAATCCACGTCACACCAAACATGCTCGCTCTTTTAGCCGCGGGGGCGTTATAATGTGACGGTCAATCCCACTATCCGTTGGTAAAAGAGTAGCCCAAGAGTTGGCGGTGGGTGGTGATGACTAGCTGCCTTCCTCTAGTCTTTCACTGCTAAATTAGGGACGGCTAGCGCAAATAGCCTCGTGTAGATTTGCGCGAAAATTCAAAAACCAAAACCAAACCAACCTTTAAAAGATAAAAAAATGAAAATAATATAACTAGATTTAAGGTACTTGTAAATTAATATTTGATTCACCATAACAAGAGGAAATCCTCAATAGCCGCGGTACTTGAAATTCTTTTATTCAGGATTAGAGTAAGTTAATCTAAGAGACTTTTTTTTCCGTTTTTATTAGCTATATTTTTGTGCGCCAGCAATACTAAGCGTGGGGCGCGCGCATACCCGATTCGATTTTATTACTCATCAGGATCTCTACTAGCCAACCCTCAAATTGAAATTATTTTAGGCAGGATCAGGGTATATTAATCTCTGAGACATTGGGCTTGGTCAAACACATCAATCGAAAGGGTTTGACCTCCTGAGTCCAAAACTGTAATTAGATCTCAAATCGGTTAAGAGATGACGGAGGTATGAGCTAAAAGTTTGTACTTATAAAAAACAAAAAAAAAACTCGGAACCATTCTATGAGCCACTGTACCGCTGCTAAAAATGTGGATGATTTTTTTAAGGTAATAAAATGAATTATTGTAATTTTAAAATTAAATGTGATTAAATAAAGTATTACATAATTAATTATGATAACCCAGTTAAACTCAAAGCTCTTGGGATTAATTACAGTTTGTGTTCTATTAGTATTGTAATGCATTTGTGTCAATTGTATTTGTCAATTTGTATATAAATGTTAAATAAGAACAT